TTCCATTTAAAATGTCAACTTATTCCATTGAAAAAAGAAATAAATGAATGCCAAGATTTTTTATTAAAATATGCATCTAAAAAGGTGAGAATAAATAGTGCATACTAAATAAAATATTTTAAGGAATTTTAGAGGAAATACGTAAGAGGTTTATTTTATATTGGTTTTTATAACCATACAAAATAATAAGTTCGTTTATTTATTCGCAGTGTAATGCGTTACGACGTAAGTTTGTCGTTACTTTACTTATAATTAAAAAATATATATTTTCCTTAAAATAGGTATGATTTCACATACATTTAAGAGTAACTTATAAGTTACCACGTCGAATACGCAACGAAATAATAAAGGTTTTTACGCCACAAGCTTTAAAACCAAGATCCATTCTCAGCCGACTACAACAATATGGGGGATATTTTTGCCTTTTTTGCTATCCCACGCTCACGTCGGGAACCATAAAAACTAGTTGCCACGGATTGTTTTACGAGAGTGTAAAAATGGGCATTATAAATATTAAATATTGCTTAAGCAACTACAGTTTCGTCGTAACAATTAATACGATGCCACTTATTATTGTAAGGGAGTAAAGAGTGTGTGAAATTTTATTCAAGACAAAGACATATTATCATTTAGTTAGATTTAGTTACATATTATTTCGAAAAAAAAATACTTTCGGCCTCAGAAGACGACAGAGATTTCCGCGTTATGTCATTGTTATAGTAAAAACCTTACATTTGATCATCTGCTTGGAAATTGTCTTCGTGATAAAATAGCAGAAAAAATACAAATGGATTTATACTTGACCCATTGCGTGCTATATTAGGTATAATGTAAGAATTGTTTGATGTAAGAAATCGTCGAATAGATACTGATTATTCAACTGTATAATTACTGAATACAAAAGTATTATTTTTTAAGTAACAGCGAAATTTAAGTTTAAGATATATTTCTTCTTTGGGGCATGGGGCAAATTTCAAGGCGCTATTTTTCACAGATAAGTAGTTGATCAGACTTCGGTGCGTTTAAAATTGGTGACAGTAGGACATATAAGCGTGTCGTTACGTTTATAACGAACATTTTAATCCTTCAAAACTGTATGTAGTTGACGTAAGTAGTATACATTTATATAAAACACTATTAAGGGTTTAAAACGCGAAATGTACATACATTATACATTTGAGCCTCTTTGCACAAGTTTTGCATTATTTGAGTACTATTACAGTCTAGTGTATGTGTATGATAGTAAATTTAGGCCAAAGTAATAAGGTATTGTGAGGTAATTATTTTTATCTAATAGTGTTCGCTATTATACATGTCAGATAACTAGTTTCCATAAGAACAAGAAATAAATTGTTTTTTTTTTTGGTTTGATGTCGTAATCTTGCTATTATTTACTTAAATATCAAATGTAGGTCAAACTTTTCTAGAAAACAAATGCGAAGTTATTTTAGACTAGCTGAACTCTCAAACGTTCGTTTCCCATTTCGACAAAATTCTATTCCAATAGAAACGGTTATTGTGAGTTATTACACTAATTTTTTAGATTATCTAAAGAATTCTTCTCGTTTAGATATTTTTAGAAATACCCCATGAATAATTTTCCACATTTCCCTCTTTTTATCGCTCCTGTTGGTCGCAGCCTGAAGTTTTATAGTCTAAAGCCTTCTTCGATAAATGGTCCAATCAACACAAAAATAATTGGTCAATTCGAACCTGTAGTCCATGAGATTAGCGCGTTAAAACAGATAACCTACAAACTCCTCAGCTTTAAACTATACTAATGTATTATTTAAATGACTACTAAGTCATTGAAATAAAACATTTTAACGGTTTAAAACGCGATATACTTTAGTTAAACTTGTTGAAAATTATTTTCAACTACGGCCCGACGTTTCGGATGCTTTGCAGCAGCCGTGGTCATCCAGAATCTCCGGCCGTAGTCAAAATAAGTTAAACCAGAATATATCGCGTTTTAAACCGTTAAAGTGTTATATTTAAATGTGTACTACTCACGTAATCTGTCTGTAGGTATTTAAGCTCAAAGTCACTAACGTAGCATATATTAAAACATAACTTAAGGTTCCCGGTTCAACAATCTTTATAAGAAATATAACATGCTTTTATTTCCACTTCATCGATCCTCACGGCTTTAATTAAAGCTTAAATACCAATTAATTACGCCATATATCCATAGATCATTTATATCAACTTCCTATACACCTGATAGCGTATTTCTTTATCTGTTAAAGGTCAGTTGTACTTAGTACAGTTGTAATTAGTATACAATGCATTTGAATACCAAATTCGTAATTATATTATTTTTTAATAAATGTGTCTATTAATTGGTAATAAACATATTTTATAATTACACGTATAATGACATATTTTGTGCACGATAAACTTTTTAATAAAATTGTAGTTAACGCGAGTACACTAATAAATAAAACATTTTGAACGATTTAAAACGCGAAATATATAAGTTAACTTAGATTTAATTGTATTTAACTTTAAAGGACGGGGCGGGGGTCTGCAAAGTATCTGTCGCGTAGTAAAATAAAGTGAAAATTAAGTTATCTAATGAAGTAGGCGTTTCAAAACAAATTATTAAAATTGTTAAATTTTGTTAATGTATAATCGCCACCGTAACTCAAAGATTTATGTTTATAAAAAGCGTTACGTTTCATTGTAACAAAAAATAGTCTTGTCTGTCTATTTGTTTACACAGGAAATTCCGATACGAACATAGGAATGTGTCTGAACGCTATGCACTGGGGTAATCGCTTTTAGTACATACATTAGGTACCTACTGACTAAAATAAATAAAACATATACTTGGAAGATTGATCCGTCATTTTAATCGTAAAGAGTAAAGACAAAATATATTTTTATTTTTTCGAAGATGATGACGTCACCGTGATTGACGTCATATTATAAAAAAGTGAACGGAGCAAAAAAACAGCTAATTCGTACCTTGCGAGGCAGTGAACTCAGATCCTGTATTCTTCGATGAATCCGCTCCGCTTTTTTGCTCATTTTACCATTCAAAGGAAAAATGTTTTAACGTTTGAAGCTATTTTTCTTTTGTTTTTAAGTTAATTAGGAATGATTTAAGCACCACTGTTAATGGTTGAGAAATCAGATAGAGAAGATGATTGTGGTATAGAATTTTAATAATAAAAAACGTAATTCACTAAAAATCCTAGAGATAAACTAGGTATAGAGTTGAAAATATGAAAATGTAATTGGTAGGTATCAATAATCATACAAAATTAAAGAAAATAGAATTATCGTCTGTAGTTTACGCGAGGTACACATTTAAATAAAACACTTTAACGGTTTAAAACTCGATATATTTTAGTTACACTTGTTCGAAAGTTATTTTTAACTAAGGCCCGACGTTTCGGATGCATTGCAGCAGCAGCAGCCATGGTACATTGATACTTTTTTTATATACTTCTACTACATTACATAGTAATAATATTGCCCCCTGATTTAAGGTTATTTTTAATAATAGGACAGACATGATATGGAGTTAACTTGATGGTAGGTGATATACCTCAGCCTAGCATCTAAACAAAATGTGTTGTCGACCTATATATTTTGGCTTGGGATATTATCTTACTGACAAAGACAGTGAAGCAGATTAATTAGGTTTCATTGTGAATATACTAAGTAGTTCGTGGAAAAATATAAAAAATTACCAAATCCAAAGTATTTATATATTAGGGTGTAAGTTAACATTGTGCTAGAAGACTGAAGTGGTAGAATTGGTACAATTTACAAGTTCTTCAATATAACATTAAATTTGACAGCCTATAATCATGGTATGTAGTTGCTAAATGTTTGTTAATCTCAGTGCAAACTGTGTTAGAACAAAAGGAATGGACATTCGCAGATTTATCTGTTACAAAATGATAACGACGATCAAAACGAAATAAAATACACAGTTTCTCAGTACCAAACACTAGCTGTGTCAGCGACTTGGTCCGAGTTTAATAATTATTTTGAGCATCTACATTTTTATAAATTACAGATGTTACCCACGCTGTCGTCCGCGCCCTGTCGTTCTTGCAAGTAAATCTTAAATCTTAGGTAGACGATAGAATGTCACTGATTTTTTTAGATATTTTAAAGGGGAATTATTATTTGATATACATTTTTTGGGTATCTTAAACCGTTTTCATAGTGTACGCATCGGAAACCCACAAACAAGGATGTATAATTTTTTCTCGTTTTATTCACATTTCCCGCTGTTCTTCGCGCCTAATAGTCGTATCGATGTTTTATATATTAGATACAGCCTTCCTCGATAAATGCTTTAAACACACAAATATATTTTTCAATTCGAACCAGTTGTTCCGCGTTCAAACAAACAAAAAGACTCTACAGCTTTATATATTAGTATGGATAAATCAACGGTCAAATCATACGTTTCGTTATTGTTTTGTAACTAAAACTGAAGATTTGGATAGAATACAGGTCGATGCAAATATTTAACGACGTATATAACAATTAAAACAAATTCGCCGTTCTTCGTGACCAGGTGTTAAAAAAGAAGAAAAGTGCAGTGGAAGGTGACAAGCTAACATTTAGCTTACGTTTAAGCGCGTCCTGTAGCGCGGTAGATAACGCTGCGAGGGTTTTGCGTAGCGCTGCATGATGTCGATCAAACATTTCAATATCTAAGCAAGTGTTGGTAATGTGAAAATGCAGTACGAAGTAATTTAAGAATGTAGCCTGTACTTACAGATACTCACAAAAGACTAAGCCATAATTTTAATAAACTAATATTAAATACAGCAAAAATACGTCTTAATGTAAAGGGGATAATTATTTCAAATAAAGATTTTTGTATTTTGTTGTATTCTACGATACTAAAATATCTCATCACATGGTCGATGTATAAAAAAACATTTATAAGTGACATTTATAAAATATTAACCTAAACAACTACGTTACGATAATCTGCCATTTAATTAATTAAAAATGTAACGAATTTCCTACTTACAGGCTGGATGGTCGTACAGCGGCGCGACCCTTATTCCTTCAAGAGGACCTCCAGCCAATTTTGAGGATATGGCTTCTAAGAATTCTCTCACATTATGAAGATCGCGATTTTCACTTGATCCTTCAGATTCCTCATCTGAAATAGTACCAATTAATAATTAAACCCTAAACATTTTAAAACACGCAAAGTTGCATACAGTGTAAATGAGTTGAGGGTGGAAAAATATACCCAAATGAACTTTGCTGCAAGTTTTTAGCAGGCGTATATGTAAATACTGTTTATAGTTTACGCGAGTATTACACATTTAAATAAAACACTTTAACGGTTTAAAACGCGATACTTGAAATTATTTTTAACTTCGGCCCGACGTTTCGGATGCATTGCAGCAGCCGTGGCCACCCGGTGATCCGCATCATCGGAAATCGACCCGAAGTTAAAAAAACATTTTCGAATAAGTTTAACTAATATATCGCGTTTGAAACCGTTAAAGTGTTGTATTTAAAAGGCGTATATGTGTGAAGCACAATAAAAAAATATTTACCAATTTGTTCCAGTTTATCGGTGGTAAACGACCAAGGCATTAGGGTGAAGGCTTTTTGCACTTGACGTAGGAACCACGCGCCAGACTCAAATTTAACTGTCCTGAAAATTAATTATAAGATTAGTCAATGTCTTGCATCGTAGCGATATAGGTGTTGAGTTAATGATTGCTGCCACCTCCTTCAATTGTAATAGTTTAAGTATACTTTAAGTACGTTCATATTTATTAAAACTAACTCCGTAAAATAGTAATCAGTGTTGCCTTGCTCCGGAGATCTTTTTAACATAATTTAAGTTTTGAGTATAATTTGTCTTTGCTGTGATAATAAAGTTTTTCTTTATCTGTACTTTAGTAACTTTCTGTAAGGTGAAATACCTAGGCCATTAGACCGACGTACCCATCAAATATACTACAACCAATCATACCATGAGTAGGAACGTGTCGGGATCGGAACAAGATATCCTTAACTATACCCTCTAGGACGGTATCTATGGCGGATCGATCTAGTGAGCCTATTTCTCATACTTTTCAATACATATACATTTTTTTTTGCTTCACACGTTCCTGTTACGGTCATAGTACGTTACGTTATAGAGGATGGACTCATTTACAATACTTACTGGTGATAGTCACAGATGCATGGAACGCAGCCTCCTAACTTGTCACCACCACATCTACGGCAGATAGTTTTGTCAGCTGCTAATATGGAAGACTTGATGTGAATATCTTTCTCCCTGTAATAAGAAATATATTATGATCACCTTTGATTCAAATTCGATAAAAGTTAAATTAAATTTTAGCTAACCAATCGTAAATACTATCAAACAATTTATAACAAAATGCAAAAAAAAAAACATGTAAAATTGGTATCTCTTTTATAACGTTTAAAAAATGATTATAAGAAATGATTTCTGTGGATTATCTTTTTATAATTTATGACATAATATATAGACCGTGTTCCTATATTATAAAGAAGCACCAATATAATCTCACGTATTTAAATTTAGATCCTGAAGTTTTAAACACACAGAAAAAAATACATATATTTATTATCTTATCTATACTAATATATAAAGCTGAGGGTTTGTTTGTTTGTTTGTACGTTAGAATAAGCTAATCTCAGGATAAATAATATATGTATATAAAATCGCCCTGTGACTAATACAAGCGAAGATACTGCGAGAAATGTAAAAAAAATTGGCAAGATTTATATATATTTTTTTGGCGAATTTAGTCATCGTTATGGGTTTCCGAGTCGGACGTTGCAAAAACGGTTCAAGATACCCAAAAAATATGTATAAAAAATAACCGCCACGTTATATGTCTTAGGCTGTCTTTTAATATTAATTTGCAAGAACAACGTGAAGGGACGCGACCGACGCCGTGGGTAATAGCTTAAGTTAATTAATATAAAGGGGTTTTCTAAAACTAATTTGGATGCCCAAAATAATGATTCTCGGACACGACGAAGTCGCTGACAGAGCTAGTTATATATGTATATTATAACTACATGTATTACTTTATTCATACATATTATGGTATTTTGTACTTAATATACTTTCATTGTAAACTAGAAAAGGATTTAAAAATATTTTTTTTGTGAGATATTCATAACATAGTTAAGTATTTATAAGTAAGAACAAAACGGAACTAAATCATTATTAAGCCTAAAACCAAGTCGCCTTGAAGTTGAAGATTTTGTTTTTACAACCCAATATTGCTTATATGAAGGGCTTCCGTGCATAATACACTTAAACGGACTCGTTTGTCTAACGGTAGCAATGCATGGCATATTAATCAATGGATCGTCGGTTCGATTCTCATCGGGTGCAATATTTTTCTAAATAATTTGTATTTTTTTCTGAAACCCATTGGAGTTTGTCTGGAAATATGGATTTTATAGGTGGATGGAATATCGAAATTCCGTACGGTACGACCACCGTCTATAGATGAAAAGTCAAAATAGGTAGAGTGCATTTTATTAATAGATATTGTATGGCTGGGGTATTTATCCTACCATCAAGTAAAACCCGAGCTCGTCTGTCCTCCTCAATAATAAAAACAACACAGATTTCATATCAACGTTAATTTTAGTTCACAAATATCTCCCGAATATATTACTAGAGATGTTTCCAGTGGCGTAGAGAATGTTTGATCACGGTTTGCGTGTACACTGTGCCTAGGACACCATTCACGGAAACATACTGGACAGGGCGGCCTTGTCTCTCCATATTTGTTGGGACATTCGTGTGAAGCAAGCCGTAGCGCGTTGGAAGCAATCATATTTAGTAACTGCCATTTTGAAGTGAACAAATTATTTTCGGTACAAGCAAATATTAGAACCAGGCCATTGACCAATGTTAAAACGACGTATTTTTCAATAGCATCTATTTATAAAATAAACGTGTGTTTTAAAATGTTTAAATGCAACGTAAAAAAATATAGTGTAGTATTCAAAATACACACTATTTATCGATAGATGTGGTTTTCGTATACCTCCGTAAAATTAAAAAATATAGTTTAACGGTTTGAAACGTGAAATAAATTCATGTTTTTAATTTTAACTGTAAGCCAGATGCTTTCCAATAATAAATTATGAATTAATATTTCGTTATAAATCTTAAAAGTTGTTTCATCTGTGTACTCGCGTAAAAAACAGACAATACTAAAAATCTTCCTAAAAACTGTTTATTTTGAGTTATCTTTTCATTAGCACATGTTAAAGTAAATATAATATTTTTGCAAACGATGGAAGAGGTCAAGGATACACAGCTAATAAGCAAGTTGAATGTCAGAGCCGTATTAATTAGCACTTTCAGAATTTTAAATAGATCCTTAGTAGATCATCATGGACTGTCACGAATCAACCAAGTGTTAGGAGTTGTCTTCTGTTCATCTGTAGCTAAGTAAGAAACGTTATACTTTAAAGGCTTATAATACTTGTCCGAATAAACCTATATTAATATGTAAAGCTGTTTGTTTTGTTTGTACGTGGTAATTTCAGAAACTACTAGTTCGAATTACAAAAAATTGGAGCGAAAAAGGGAAATGTGAAAAAAAAAACAGGGAAATCAATTCATCTTTGTGGACCTCCGATGCGTACGCTGCGAAAACAGTTCGAGATACCCAAAATATGACGTCATGTCAGTGATGAAGCGAAGAAGTTCGGGTTTCTAATTATTCGAAAATGACTTGGGCAGGACTTGAACCGGCATCGTCAGCGTACCGTGCTGTTGCTCTACCAATTGAGTTACCGAGTCCTTCACCTCATCGACGAATTTTTTCAACTTATTGATACACGTTCTTCTCGCGCAATATCTTTTTTAAAGGTACATCTTATGTGTGTGAAAATCAAAAGAGAAGAGACTAATAAAAGTAGGTATTGCTTCTTTGACTTCTCGTAGGGTCTATTTTATCTTTAAACTAGCGATAGTAATTTTAATGTTGTGTAGGACCCTTATATATATAAAAAATATAAATATTTTTATCATTAAAATGTAAAATAATTTAATGCTTAAAAATGACTAGCACGTTCAGTAAGTACGTTGATTACTGAAATATGAAGTTAATGCATAATTCATTTTCCTGCTTTGTTTTTACATTAAGACCGGTCAGTCCGATTTGGTAATCGAAATGGGCTAATTACGGCATTTGAGCATGTTTCTGAACCGGTCTAGGTTTTTTCCTCTAATAAAGGAAATTCACGCCCCATGTTAACCCCAACCCGGCCCGGACTTAAAAAACAATAGTAAGTAATGTAAGAAATATCTAGCTATGTGTGGTTTACGTGATTAGTATGCATTTAAATAAAACACTTTAACGGTTTAAAACGCGCAATATATTAGTTAAACTCATTCAAAAAGAAACTGGCAGGATCGCCAAATACAAACTACGACGGGACAGATTTTACTCTGACATTAGAGAACAATCCGTCTTTAGTCTCCCCCGTGGCCACAGGTGCTGCAAAGCATCCGTGTTTTATTTAAATACCATATGTATCATTATATATATATATTAAAGATATATTATTTAATATTAATAGTAACTATACGCTAAAACAATCTAAGGTTTTTTCTTTAGTTGAGTGTAAAAGGAGTTCAAGTGATGTACCTATAAAGTAACATGCGATACTAAGCCAAATAAAATCTTATTTATACAACGTATATATAAAGGATGCATGCAACTTTAAATACGTTTTTTAACGCCGTCCGGAAGGAAATGTTATTAAATTTTAATTCTGTAAGTTAATTGTTTAAAACACGCGCCGCGTCAAAGTGTTCTTTAATAATTGATTACTTAGAAGTTTCTAAAACTAAAACTTTTTATAGTCAGTTTAGTGTTTGATATTATATAATTTTATTCATTAATTAATTTTAAATATGAAGTTATATGGTAACGAGTGATCCGTGGCCTAAATAAATATGCACGGTTATCATGCCCGGCGAATATACGTATAAAATGGATAAAGAAACAAAGATAAATGAAACAAAAAGGTAACGACTAATAATCAGGGTTCAGAAAGCCATATTTTCTGAGCACAAACTGTCACAAATCTTTTAGCACAACATTTTTGTTCTTTTAAATTTATTGTAAACCTATTTTTAAGTGCTTTAGTCCAATACTAACTGCAACAAAATTAATGTGGTTGTTTGAATATATTTCTTGCAAAAGGGGATAGAGACAAGAATGGGCCTCATCTGATAAAAGATAAACAATTAAAAACAGACAACAATTAAAAAACAGATCTACCTTGTTGACACAATGTCAACGAGGTAGATCGGTTTGTAGACCTGTTAGAACGAATCAGACCAGAAGTAGGCACAATGCCTATTTTCGGCGATGATCTGAATAGTAACTAAAGTACCTATAGAAAATCAATATAAAAGTTTACCAGGAAGGTATTTAACAGAAATCTGCAAAACGGAAGCGAGTCACGCATTTTGACAATACGGTTTGTACAGTTCAACGTAGCCTTGTTGAATTTCCGCGAAAAAAAAGTGGAAAAAAAATATTAAAAAAGACATATTCATACATATTTATATGTTTAATTGTAGTTTAAACAAAGTTATTATTTAGCTCTTGCAATTATTTAAAATGAAACTCTAGTAATTATTAATCGACTACGAACATAAACATTTTAAATAAAATATTTTTTTTTTATAATGGAGTACTTTGTATACAAAGTAAATACATCTTCATATAAGTTCATAAACATAGATATCTGATTTAAATATTTGAGCAGTTGTTTTGACTTTTATTGAAGGGAGGAAGACCCTTCTATACTAAAGAGATAATTCTTCAATTTTCGTTTTAAGTATTGTAACTAGAGCACTACACATTTAAGTAAACAAAACATCAATAATTTAGTACGAAAATGTATTAGTTAACTTATTTTAACCGACGAGGAAGTTTCGGATTTTAAACCGTTTAATCTAATCGTACCAGTAATTTACTAAAATTAAGGTATATTCATTATTGAAGATTACATTTTTGTGCTAAAATTTTTCTTAAGACTGAATTTAGTACGCGTATCATAATCCACACGTTTGTTGTCACAGACGGACCTATCGCGTTTTATTTGTTCTAAACCTGTCCTGTATTTTTATGCATTAAGAACCACACACATATTAAAGAAGCTATGCAAATAAACATACTAAAAAGACTAAAAATACCACATCCTTAAATGTATTAACGTCTCACAGGGTATATTTTTAGCTGAAAGGGCGTTATCGGGCCAGTAACCCAAAGGACTTTGCTAGGTCAACGACCAATACTTGTTCGAGTATTGTTGTCCACATTCAATAAAAAAAAATATTTTTCACATGTTAAGCACATGATGGCATTATAAAAATTATTTATATAGTTTGACAATGACGATGTGTGAGATACCTACATAGCTCAATTGATTAGTCGCTAAAGGAACGCTTTGGATGCCGGTTCATATCCCGTGTTGTAAATATTTTATAAATTCTACGTAAATATCCACAGGAAGTTGTTATTTTAAAGATTATGTATTTAAAAAAATATGATATGGTATATAAAAAATATAGGTGCAACACGTAAATTATAATTTTGACTTAAATATATTGAAAATTTAATAATTTATTTAAAATAAAAGTTTGTTCTTTACTTATACAATTTTATTAATATACACACGTCGTTTGAATGTAACAGGAAATACTTCATTTTTATTTCCATTGGATGAATACTTTATTTCATGTTCAGTCGAGGGAAAGCATGTTGTACAAGTGACACTATAATTCATTTTCTCTGATACCAATAAAACTACACATATGACTATTCAACTCAATGAAACCTCTCGAATAAAAACTACACCAATGTTTAGTTCATATACAGTTACACTGAGATTATCACCAGAAACTTATCACGGGTTAATCATCATCCATATCAAACCACATCGACGTCACACTCCTGGATTGCTCCCGACTATGTTCCTCAGTCATGATTTTAAGAACAACCACCTCCATCATGCACAAAGCGAACAGTATAACGAATATCGCGAAATTGGAGCCTTGGTGATGGGACTGAAAGGCATTGGGGATCGGACCTGGTGGCGGCCATGCTGCTACACCGAATGTCATTACACTCGACACACTGGACAGGGCCATATTTAACTGCCTTCTACCATTTTAAATTTGGAACACCCGATATTTACTGAGGAACTGAAAGTATTAGCAACTCTTCGGCACTTAGCTCTTTTCTGTCAGTTAAACTAAAATCCTTTCATCAATGAGTTTGCAGGACTCGTATCATTAAAAAATCCTGAAGTTACACAAGTCACAGACAACGGATGAGAGCCTCTCGAGGAAAAACTCGCTTCGAAATTTAAATTACAACAAGTAGTTGAATTTACTGTGGTAGCACTCGCGTACGTCCGCCGCGCTGCTTTTGAAACGTCTTATGAAATGAACGCTTTAGTTAGATGCTCGTTGGGAAATGGTGAATGCAAGCCGGTCAAGGCTGCCGATTGGCCGATGACCTTTGATATTGTTTCAGATGCAATTTTCACACTATCCTATTGTAGCCATGGTGTTTTGAGGGAGCTGCATTGTTTACTAGACGTGAGGACATTCATCATCGAGACCTTGACCTCCTCTGTATCGAATAATTAAACGTGTTGCCTGTAGGGCACACAAGTCTGATCAACTACTGGCCTGTAAAAGAACTGATCAATGAAACGGACAGAGAAATATGTTCGCCGATGCCTCAACCGTTTTGCCTTTTACCAAGTTTTAAATACATAAAGATTCAATCGATTATGATTTCAATCGCCGCTATAACAAATACGATGGTTCATTCAAAAGTAAATATTGAATTGAGCAAGATCTTACTATTAGCAACAAGACGTACTAAACTATATTATAATGAAAAAAAATTATTTTTTATATATTATAATAAAAATAAAGTTTGATTGTTTTTGCTCTATCTATAGACATACGTTTTATTCATGACATGAAACCCAGAAAGGCAAAAACGATGGTGTAACTTGCAAAATATATGCGTGGTTACAGCTGCTGCAAAGCATCCAAAACGTCGGTCGGTAGTTAAAAATAACTTGTAAACATGTTCAACTCATAGATTTCGCGTTTAAAACCGTTAAAGTGTTTTATTTAAATGGATATGTTGTTTTCAATATTCCGTTTAGTATTTCTAGATTATTAACTTTATGTACTTTGTAACGTCCATCGATCGGCCATGTTTGTTCGCAGATAACCTATAGGCGTAATTCTGATAACTAAAATTGCGAGTATCGATATGTACAGGAATAGGCAATAAATAAAATAAACGACAAGAAATAGTCACGTTTAGAAATGCAAAATAGTACCAAATTCACCGGGCTAAAACCCGAAACATATGTAATTTAATCCCAGCTGCGACCCGACGTATTCAGTAACTATTGCGGTTGCTGTAAACTTTCTCCACACCGGGTTGTATTCATAAATAAATTAACTAAACCGTTAAAAATGAATATTTTATGTTTATCGTGCTTTTGTAAACTACATACAATACTCACTTTAATAATAACGTCAATACATTATTATGAACACATAATATTCTTGACAAAGTCACTCTGACAATAAATTGATTTTATGTACAAGATATGTATTTTCAATAAACGTGTACAACTTTTTCCATCCATGAACTTCATCTGTGAGATATAAAAATTTTGGAAATCTATAAAAATTGATTTTAGACAGTACAATTTTTACGACGCGGGTTGGACTTGAAGCGGCATCCACAGCGTTGCTGTTGTTTTAACCAATTGAGCTATCGTATCTGTTAAACGGCTTAAATTAAAATCGCTCTAATAAACATTATGTTTATATTTGTAGCGTATAAAGACACACCGGAACTATCGACTGTTCGTTTTCGGTCGTCTGAAACAGATCTTTCAGAAGAAAAGACGTTGCTGGTGAATCCTGACTGTCCAGTGCGTATCATGCTGGAATATATACGAAAGAAATGCAGGTGAGTTTGTTTCATGGTAGAGGAGGACGGGTGGACGGAGATAAGCTTGGGGTACACGTGATGGTAGGTAGAATACACCAGTCATATAACATTCTAAACAAGATGCGCTTTCCTATTTATGGCTTTAGATTTTCAAGAAATAATGCTATAAATTAATAATTTATTATGTTATTGCCTAAATAAAGTAAAAAGAAATATATTATGAGTCGTTAATTCTTTGTTTAAATTGTTATAAATTTAAAAAATTTAAAAAAAATGTGTTTTAAAACTTTTAAAATTATTTTTTAGCACCACCAACGGTTTACATTTCTTATTATTTATATCAGAAAACAATAAAATGATCTTTTGATTACCTTTGCAATAAAACTATTTTAACTATCAATAATCTTAATTGAAATATATATGTTTTTGCAAAACCCCGCGTTTGTCTGTAGCATAGTAGTCTTAAGATGGTAGTGATATTTTCAGATGTATGTGATCCCTAAATAGTGCTTATAAGTTGTTCAAAGTATTCCTAGAAGTTCTTAGTAGATAACAGACTGAAACCAAAGATTCCTCTGATAATAATTCGTGCATAATATAAATAAAATATATTTAATTATGTTTTCCTTTCAGGCTGGGAATTTTCACTCGATTCGATCTTTGCGACGAATCCGGCGCTCTCAAGGGCTTGTTTAATATGCCCACGTATGCCTATGCCACAGATCAATTTGAACACAAGCGGACGTACTACCTTATAGTATTGAAAATGGTAAGAAGAATTTACGGCATATGATTAAACATGCATCTTAGGCAGTTGTGTTATTCTATAAAAATATTTTTTTAAAAGTTTGTACGGCTTCTGGTTTGGGGCCCCCCCCCCCCCGGGCCCACCCCCCTTTCCCCTTTTCCCCCTTTTTTTTTTTTTTCCTTTTTTTTTTTTTTTTTCCCCCCCCCTTTTTTTTAACATTTGGTGTTAACCTGAATTAAATTATTCACTACACATCTATTTATACTAAAAACAAGTCAATGCATTTAAATAAAACACTTTAACGGTTTAAAACGCGATATATTAGTTAAACTTATTTGAAAATCTTATTAACTTAGTTCCGGATGCTTTTTCGTGCTTTGCAGCAGCCGTGGTCACAGGGAGAGTGCTACAAAGCATCCGAAACGTCGGGCCGAAGTTAAAAATCATTTTCAAATAAGTTTAACTAATATATCGCGTTTTAAATCGTTAAAGTGTTTTATTTAAAAATACGATATTTTGCTCCTGACCCAATTGATGGGTGCGTTATATCGATTTTATTTAAATTAAAGTTTTTTAAGACCTTATTCAACGGGTTGAACAAGTTTTTAATGAGTACTAGTCATTTAGCATTGGAATTATGTGATTCGTTATTTTACGGACGATTAGGTTTATAAAATGTAAAGCAGTGTATGAAATTAAGTAACCTTTAAAATCCAACCATGTAGATTTATGTTTTATGTAGCAAATAAATCCATTGCTTTAAATATGTACTTAAAGTGTACGTGGTTTCTTTGATTTCAGTAATAAAAATATAATCTTTAATTCTACTAATACATATATTTGGGAAAAAGCTTACGTTCTCGAAATATTAAAAGTGTTTAAAAATACACTAATTTAAATTTTAACCTCTTTTCGAGAAATATTTTTGTTAAACGCACCTTATATTATTGGTAATATTTCTGTAATTTAAATTTTACGTTTCATTTTAGTTTAATCAAAGAAATTAAAACTCAAATTCGTTTAAAGGCTTAACTCTATGTCAAGATGATTATTCATAGACAATATAATTATAATTTAATAAGGTATAAATATGTTTAGTCAAACACTATTTGGATGTAAAAAATAATTAAAACTTCGTTTAGAGCCCTCTCTGTTAAATCTGTTCTTCCTAGAGAACACCTCACATTATATATAATACTACAGTAAATTAAAGCCAACTAGCCAGGACCCAATGATTATCAGCCATAAATTAGCATTACATCAAACAATATATAAATAAATATATTATTTGGGTTGTCTGGAAGAGATCGCTCGTTAGCGATAAGGCCGCCCATTGCAGTCCATATTTTTAGTCTCGTTTATATTTTTGTTCATTTTGTTGTGCAATGTAGTGTAAATAAATATTTTTTTCCAGGAACAAGATAAAAGGATGTCAGTACTGCCTCAACTAAACCATGACAATGTCCGTTACGAAGAACTGAAGAATAAAGTGAAAATATACATGCTAGGAGAGAGTCCGATAAGATCACCACCGTCCGGCTCGGCTCCTTCTGGGAAGAGTACTCCACTCATAAAAGTCGCGTCGAAGAAGAAATAAGCATTGCCATTAAATGCGTAAAACGAAACGCCTATAAGGCAGTTTTTGTGGTCAAACTGCGCTATTGCTTTATTATATTCGCAGGAGTTTAACTGCCGAGTTTAGTGGAGTCCACAGTTTTTATTTTTAACTAGCTGACCTTGGAAAAATCTCATGATGATGTATATAACCATTTGATTACCGCAAACGGTTTTTGTGAGTTCAACTTCAAAGACAGGCATGTTTTGGAATATTTATAGGAGACTAATTCTTTTATACATATGTTTTAAATAAGAACCAGATGAATATTTTTTCTCTCTATAGATGGTCAATATAAAAATAAATTTTCAATTCGAACCAGTAGCTCCTGAGATTTGCACGTTAGAACAAACTCTTCAGCTTTATAATATTAGTATAGATTAAATTCTGGTAATGCGTACAATTTTTGACGTAGCCCACCCATTATTTTAAGGGGTATTGTTTTCTTGGCCTCTGCAGCCAAATGGTTAAAATGGTATTGCCTAGCATTACGTTACGCGTGAGAGGTTCCGGGTTCGAATCCCAGGGAAACAAAAAATGTTTCGGTCGGGCAGGGCACAGAAGTCTGATCGAGTACTTGCCTGTTAAAGAACAGATCGGTGAAACGGACACAGAAGTGTGTTTGCGCCATGACCCACGAGGGGAAGTGGGATTTCACACACTTAAGTAGCAATTTATTAATCATAAATGGTTCCAGCAACTGGCTTGTCGGATCTACGGTGACCGGAAATAATACACCAGGAATAGTAATCAGCTATACATTAAAAATAAGTTATTTGCTATAGTATAGAGGGCGATCTTAGGATAGCAAATAATAAAAAAATACAAATTAATACGAGTAAAAAAGTTTTCAAACTACGACATGTATGGACATAGACTGTTTCGTAATACTAATATTATGAATCTGATCTACACACATATTATGGAGTTTGTTTGATAGAACATTTATCGATGTAAGAATGATCGCTAATAAAACGATCTAAAAAGTCCGCGACAGTAGTAGTGCCCATTTTAAGATTAACTCGCAAGAGCCGTTTTTTATGGTATATCAATTTGGTCGAAATTATTGTTTTATTCCATATGGAAATGGTCGAAATATTGCATTATTCGAGAGTTGTGTAGGCATAATAATATTAATAATCTTGCAAACAACAAAAGAACGTCTGCCGGATCAACTAGTCAACAATAGATTTACAATTTATACAGCTAACATGTAAGGAATGTGCAAGTTAAAAGTACATGTTTATACAATTTTAAGATTAAAATAAGCAACCATTAAACGTAAATAGTTAAAATAGAAAGTGCAAGCAAGGTTATCAAATACAGTAGAAAATGGTCCGTAGTGATGACGGAACTAATGAGAGGCTGGCTGTACGAAATATGTTAATTTTCCAATCAGTTTTCATCTTATTGCTGATTGACCGCCTCTAGACTCATTAATAATAGGTTCGAATCACGGAAAAACATAAGAAATAGTTTGGGTAGTGTGTATAAAATCGATTAGAAAAACTAACAAAATACACCCTAAACCAACAAAGAGAGTTTAATTTAAAAAACTGTTTACATTGAAATAATTTTACGACAAGAGCGGGTTGAATCGGCATCCATAGCAAGCGACAGCACAGAACGCTGTTGATTTCGGTTCGAGTCCCGCCCATGTCGTATTTATTTTCTATATAAACAGATTTTTGTTTATATTATACAAACGGGCCTTCACCTTTTATTGTTTTAAAATTCGCCTAGCAGCCATTATTAAGTTTCAGAAGACTTCAAAATTGTCACTCCGGGTTCTGAGTTACCATATATTTTCAAACTGGGAGTTAGGCAAAAAGTGGACAGTTTAGTAAAAGGCAGTTACGTGAACGGCGGCGTCAGTAGAGCGAAACGATGAGTCAAAATTATTATCCGTTGTGTCTATCTGCCTATATTATTATTAGTGTGCAACTCAAATAAGAGAGGGGAACCGTCACCAACTTAAGTTTCGTTGGAAACCATGTTTTTCATATACAATCAATAACAGATAATAGTCTATGAAAGCGACCAGCGACCGCGATATACACTATCGCGGACAATTTCTTAGATCATTTAAAAAAGAATAATTCTTCATACACATTTTTTGGGTATCTTTTCGTTTTCGACGTTTATTCTACATTTCCCCTTTGTATTTTCGCTCCTATTGTTTGCATCGTGTTTTAAAGCCTAAAGCCCTCCTTGATAAAGTACTTCCTGAGATTAGCTCATTCAAACAAACAAACTCTTCAGCTTTATATATTACATTTAGCGTACTACTTACATGCTCTTTCTAAAAAACTACTTTGCTTTGCCAATAATAAATAAGAAGCAATTTGATTGCCGGCCTTGCATTCGCTTCGCTTTTCTTAGTCAAGATGGAAGGCATTGACCACGTGCAGCGTTATCGTAGATAGCTGATCTATTCTACGATAATCGTCGAGTGTTATTGTATATAATATTAATACTTGGATATAGCATCATTGTAGAGACAAAATAAATATCGAACATTGTTCGTACTTTCCGCGAGCAGTACACGTGAAATAAAACACTTTTAACTGTTTGAAACTCAAAAAATGTTAGTTAACATATATTTTAATACGATGCGACGTTATGGATGATTTGTTGATAGTTAAAAAGATATTTAACATTTATATATCGTTTTCAGGACCCATCTGTTATGCTTTAATGACAGAAGGGCACAAGTAGAAAAATAAATACCTTATATCACTAAAAGATGCTAAAAGTTTGTTGTAGATAGAATGGTAAATTCATAATACCGAGTATTGATTTGTGGTTATAGATTAGATCGAAGTGAAATGTATTATGTTCCATCAACCACAAGTGGTCTATACTGTTTTTTTTTAATAGAACAATTTAAGTTACGTACCGAAGTGTCAAAATTTTCCAATTAGGTAAAGATTTCTCACAGAAACACCACACTCAAACTACTACACTCACTAAAGTTGTATTGGTTTGTGGACTACGCTTCCGATAAGTTTTGGCGGTAAATGACAACTGACAGTGTAACAGGCTGGCGCGGATGTGGACGTCGGGCCCGGAACTATGCGTAGTGCATTTGTAATATAATTAATACACCCTCTATGGTCTATTGAGTCATGGGGGTCTACTTTTAATACCTATTGTTTTTATTCGACTGAGCTAAAGGAAAGGGCAATTTTAAAATTGTATTTGATTAAACATGACACGATCGGGACTCAAAGCCACGACCGATATCGTGTGCCTCCGTTTCACATCTGTGATTTTTGAATTGATCAATGTAGTCATGTCAATATGTTTTAAATATATTTTTATCAGGTCTTTATCTGTTCAATATACTTATTATAATACATAATACTCGATGATTGTTTATATGTAGAAAGATAAGTTTTCTTAATTCGATTCGTATGTCTACTTTAATATGATAGTTCGCACATAACTTCGTTGTAAATGAATAGATTTTTTTTTAACAATAGATATTAAATTTAAAGCAAGCTTTAATATTTAGGATCGCCTTTTTAGTTAGGAAGAGGAACCGGCACGTGTGTGGTTTATTGTCCAATAGCCGGATATGACGACGCATTACTAAAGAGATAGCTATCGTAATTTCACAGCCTTTGTGCTCTTCTACATCGCATCAAAAATATGGAGGTCAATTCGTAAATTCCTGTGTAATTATATAAACCTATTGTTTATAATCGCTTCTGTAACCTAGTAAATATTAAAAGTTATCATTGCGTTAATCGCGACAGGTCTCGAGTTCAAATCCCGTGGTAACGAGAAATAGTTTTATTCGCAGAAGTCCGATGATCTACTTATACTATATTAAAGAAACGGCTAATGAAACGGGTACATAAATGTATTCGCCTCATGCCTTGTTTATCTTGTGTATTCTTATAAGTATGAAGTTATTCCTCTTTCATCTTGGGTTGCCTGGAAGAGATCCCTCGTTAGCGATAAGGCCGCCTATTGCACTCCATATGTTTAGTATATAAGTTTATATTTTTGTTAATTTTTTTTTGTGCAATAAAGTGTAAATAAATAAATAAGTTATATTTTCTTTTGTCTTTTTTAATGTAATAAGTTAGTGCGTGTTAAGACGATTTATGTCCACCTGAATAGTAGGTATATACATGATATAGGTATTCGTACTGAGATTTGTACAAATATATCATGTATGTAACTTGAAAAAGAACTTACAGCATTTGTTGGTTTGTTAAACAGTTATTATTTCAGCTCCTGGGTTCGAATCTCGGAGAAACGATTCATTGTAGTATAGTAAACAGTAATGTTAACTGATTAGTATTGTTATTATAATTTTTTTTTTTCATTTTTATATGACATATTTGTAAGATGTGGGTTTGTACCTGAATGAAGAATTATTATTATTGTATGTAGGGAAGATCAGAGAAGTCTGTTCAACCATTGTCAGTAAATATAACCGAACAGTTAAACGGACACTGAAATATGCCCATGCCCTACGGAGGGAACGGGATATATTTTTGACATTTATATTAGCATTATTGAAGGAAAGGAAGGACTTATATTAGGATGTCACTCTATTTCATGATCACGAAAAACACAATAATTTCCTAAAATTATACGTAACTAGCGACATCCCGTTTACTTCCAACGAATAACATTGTCTTTGTAGTTGACATTTGAATGATGTTATACAAATCTCGCTAGATGGCGTGTTCTCTGGGCCTAGCATGCGCGCTCCGAACAAAAAATGTCCACCAGAAGTCGTCGTCTTGCATTGTATCTTCACTAAAGGCAGCTATTTGTCTTGTTTTTGGAGATAAAACTAGAGAAAACAGTTTGTTAAGGTCGGTAGATCTTGTCATTTGACGCATCTAAAATTGTAGGAATAGTATAATACTGTACGTATAGGTTTGTAGGTATATACTGCCTTTTGATTAATTATCAATTATACTATTAAAATCTCTTTCTTAGGCGCTTAGATCTTTAGG